AAAGGAGATTCCTATTTCTGAGCAATGCTGTGGTGGGGTTACAGACTTACAATACAGAATGTCTAAATGTGTTGGCTTTTCCTTGTGTGATGAATAATGATGGATGAATATGTCCCTTTATCAAATTTGAAACCCCCCCTAGAAATAGTATCATAGCATCCATATGTTTAGTTGCTGATTAAGACTCGATTATAATGCCAAGATTTGAAATCCTGAGATGGTTGGAAGTTTGGAATAATTTATTGATTCAAGGGGTAAAGATTAGGCTTTCAGATAAGTTAGAACTAGAAGACTTTTTTTAAAGGGTCCATGTAAAACCATTGACCTTAAACATAGGGTTTGATGAGTTTTCGGTTATTTTGTTAGTTGGAATGAATTTTGTGTTGGTTTATTGTCCCACAAGTTAACTTACATAGTGGTTTTAAAGGAATAGAGTTCAGCAAATTACTGGTGTTACAAATGACATGCAAAGGCGTTCTGGAAATCTATTACCACCACCTCCAGCTGATGACTACTCTAATAACAACACAGACACTAGTTCTGCATGGGAAAAACCTATAAATAAAACCACCACAACAACCAATGTAAGATATTCTGTCATGTGTTGACCTTTGCTAATCTTCTTTTGTGTTGATGTGTTATATTGTCGTCTGGGATTTCTCTTTCTGCTATATAAATTATAACCAATGTGTTACATGATTACATCTCCAGTTATAAAATTTTCTCTTCTCTTATTGCATGCCAATGTGATTATTAATAGTTTAATTTTGTTCTTATGGTGATTACTTACATTTCTAGCAGAATCCTGCAAATGGTATGAAAGTTCCCCTGCCAAATAGTAGTTCAGGGAAATCAACAGCACTTCCTGCAGCAGCTTCATGGTAAACTCCGTCCTTTCAATCTCTGTGTTTGTGCAAAAGACGTAAACGCCCTTAGTATGGAATAAATTACCTATTGATCTGGATGTGTTACAGGGGAACACGTGCTTCAAATAGGCAGCCAAGTTTCAAAGAGCTAGTAGTAGAAAAGGGTAGTCTGGGGAATAATCCAGTATCTATAAAAGAAGATGTGGATAAAAACATATCCAATAAACTCTCACATCCTTCAGATATTTCCCGGAATTATTCAAATCCTGTTCCAGATGAAGAACGGATTATTAACAACTTATCTTTTGATATGTCATTGAGTAGCATCAATAACAATCAAAGATTACAAGCGTGTGAATCAGAACCTTTGACCTCAAATGAAGCAGAAAACACAACTGTTTTAGTATCAGATGTACAAAAGAAAGTAGCAATTAGTGTAGCAGAAGAAGATATGATGTCTTTCAATGATGAGAGACTCGGAGATACAGAAGCTATACAGAATCTTCCTCCTAATTCTTCTCCCCCAAATAATCCCATGGGTTGTTATCCGCTACATGCATGTGTATCGCCTAATGGTGGTGTAGATCCTCCGTCTTCCCATCTTGCAAATAATAATATACCAATTACAGTTAATGACTACTCATCCACTGTAATTGGTAATTCTTCCAGTTCCAGAGAATTATTATCCAACGGGCATTCATATTTCCATGGTAGTACGGAAGGGTGTAAAAGTGAAATTGGCGATTTGGGAGAAAGCAGTATTATATCTAATATTTTATCCATGGATTTTGACCCGTGGGATGAGTCATTAACTTCACCTCAGAATTTGGCTAAGTTTTTAGATAAACAACCTGAATCTCATAGTCATAGTCATAGTCATAGAGTTTTGAGTTCAAGAAACAGCAACCAGTCAAGATTCTCATTTGCAAGACAGGATGAAGGATCCAATAATGGAGATTTTGGTTTTGAATATAAGAATTCCAACTCTTCTGATTTTGTCAGTAATAAAAATAATAGTATTTATATTGACAAGAAGCATAGTAATTATAATAATGGCAGCAACGGTTTCTCTTCTTTTAGCTTTGAGGAATCTGAAAATTTTGCCACCAATAACTTTCCCATGTCTGAAAATAAGATTTCAGGTACGTAAATGTTTACGTTTGTTGTATAGATATTATTATGCATATCATGGTGATGGATGATTTTATTTATAATATGTAATTTTTGTGGATGCAAACAAACAGTTTCAAGAACACAGGTGTCTGCCCCTCCTCCTGGATTTTCAGGAGTGAGCATCAGCAGAGCACCACCTCCAGGGTTCACATCTCAGGAGAGGATGGAACAAAAACAAACCTTTGATACCCCTACCCCTACTCTATCACTGTCAGGTTAGTGTTAGGTGTCATTTTTCATGTTTACTCATATTCATAGGCCAAAATACAGAAAACCTACATTTACTCGAAATTAACATATATATATATATATATATATATATATATATATATATATATATATATATATCTTTTTCAGGGAACCATATGTTACTGAGAAATATGGGTGGGGGTGGTGATTTGGAGTTTATGGATCCTGCAATCTTAGCAGTGGGTGGTAGAGTAAATTCCAATTCCCCACCTGGGCGTGGCTTTGGCTTAGACATGAGATCAAACTTTCCTTCTTTTAATGAAAATGATGTGAGGCTTCAAGTTTTGATGCAAAGATCCTCCTTTTCTCAGCAGCAAAACCCTAGAAGATTGAGTGAAGTAGAACTAGATTTCCCTCAACAAATTAATTCTTATGCTGCAATTCCGTCAAGGATGGTTGACAACAATCATCTTTCATCTCATTATCAGACCAGTTTCCAGCAGCAGCAGCAGCTGGCTAGGAGGTCATTGATTTCTTCTAATAATGGGCATTGGAATGAAAATAATGATATGAGACTGGGATTGGGATTGGGATTGAACAACGGATATTATCATTCAGCAGTAGGTGTAGGTCATGAGGATACAAAGTTTCACTTCCCGACTTCACCTGATTTGTATAACACAACATTTGGAATCTGATTCATTGGCTGGCTACCTGTTTCTGAGGTTGTTGGAATGGAATTAATACAAAGATTGTGTAACCCGGAAATGGGATTCATTGAAGGAAGGATCTATCTAAGCCTAGTCTGTAACAGTGGGGCAGGCTTCCAGATACACCACAAGGTGACTCACTCTTAAATCATTCCTCTAATAATTTTTGGTTTCTAGTAAACCCTTGATTATGCAACAAAGTGTTTTTTTTTTTTTTTTAATGAAATACACAATGCTGTTTCTTTTTAGAATGCTATCTTTCTTTATAACCAATAACCTGTCTAACCATTTTTTTTTTAATTGTCAGATTTAAGTGATAGTGTTGGTTGAATTATTATGTTTTATGTTTTTGTGTTAGCAGGCAGGCAGGCAGGCAGGCAGGCAGAGCAAGTTATGAGGAGGATGCTACTGTTCCCGGAGCTCAACTTGGTGCTTATTATGGTCTACTTGTGATTCTCCAGTCAAGTCTCTATACCATCTGTACTGAATCGTTGAAGATACCTTTTTTTTTTTTTTTTTCCAAAATTAAGAAGTTGTCTGTATCTGATTTTCTTACAACTTAAAGTTTGAGCCAAATTTAAAAGGAAACAACACAAACTTCCAAAGCTTTGATTTTATGACTATTCTTTCTTGTTTTACAAGGACTTTTATTTGATAATTTTAATGCTTGAATCAGTCATTCTCTTGAAGCTCTTGAAGTGAAGACCAGACCCCACATACTAACAAGCCTGTTTTTACTTTTTATTCAATCAGCAATTTATTCAATGAAAAAAGAAAGAATGAAAAATACTTCTAGCGCTATTTTGAATTTTGATGATAAGATTGAGGTGGCTTTACAAATTCAATGTATAATACAATGTGTCACAAATGGAGACTGTAAAAAAACATGGAATTGTATCATAACTTAAATAACATACATCATTCGTGAATTTTATTTGCGGTTTTCACCTCATGATGTATATATATAAATCTATAAACAACATTTGAAAATCTCGCATCTAAAAACACAATTTGTTTTTTTTTTTTTGAAGTCAAAATACATCTTTTCCTATTACGAATCATTACAAATTCTAAAAACCAATTAATTTGGTCCCTCGTCCTTTGCTTTGCCATGTCGAGGTGTATCTTGTATACTAGATACTCAAACCAAGTGTTCCCATCAAACATTGTATTTAAGACTTAATGCAAGAAATAACAACATATACTTACATACATTTATTTCTTTCTATTACAACATTTAATAATAAACAAAGTTGTCAACCAAAGACTATTTTTCACAAAGGACTAGGATAAAAAAACGCTATACCACTACGAGAACTACAATTTCATATGGAATGGGGCATGTCAAACGAATAATCTAGTATGAGTTTAAATGTCATATATTATATATACCCTCAAGAATTCCTTGCCTGCTGCAAATAACGACCGAAAATGAATGGTGGTTATCAAACAGCTTTCAAAAAGAATGGATCCTGTTCTGCATTTAAACTTTCTTTCCTCTGCTTGGTATTACTGCACCCAATTAATTAATGTCAACAAAACTTATTGCTTATTCAGAAACACAATCATTTCATACCTTCAGATAATTATATATATAAAAAAATGTAAATACCATTTGCCCAAAAATCACATAGAATCCAAACTAATACAAAAATAAGAAAATTCTGAAATGTCCATCAAGGTTTTTAATGGTTTAGAGTCCCTAATCTTTATTTCTCGCATTCTCATCTGAATTTTAGGCATGCGTCTCACTTCATGCCATGGGAATTAATATTGTGCAAGATTCAAGAAAACTAGTTTTCGATACAGACTCATGTGGTAGGTTTAAATTATATAAATCTGAAAATCAGAAACTTATTACCTCACAACAAAAAGGTATAATGGTGATAGTCAAAAGGACCAAAAGTACAACAATATGAAACCACAAGGATCAATCATATAACAAGATGACAATTTTGACTAAACTTGTAATTTTCACTATAAGACAAGGACCATTTCTTCAAATTTACTCTAATTAATAAAATTAACATTTCCAAGAAAACATACCTGTGATGTAATATAATCAACCCACATCAAGGTCAGGGATTTGGGAGACAACAGGCCAATACTTGGCTTTTCTACCACCACATTTTTTTCTCAATTCCAGTGAAGAAGAATCCACCCACAAACGTGAAAGTTTAGGCAGCAGCATCTCGGGCAGATCTCTAAGTTTCGGGCAGGATCGAATAAGAAGTTCTTCAAGGCAGGTCAGGTGATGTAACTCCTCCAAAACCGATTCCAACTCCATAAAACCATGGATTTGTAATAAAGTTAAAGATGGTGGAACAACAAATGATGATGAAGTTGTATTATTCCTATTTCTTACATCTTCTTCTGACTTTGCAAATGGAACAACTCCCGAATTCTTGCCATATAAACTGAGTTTAACAAGTGAGGTCGGGAAATTTTGTGGGCCCCACTCCGACATGGGCTTCTTTAATCCTCCTATTGTGAGGGTAGTTAGATTAGGAGGCCACAAAACACAAGGGAAGGTGTAGTCTATATTTGGACAATCTCGTATCCACAGCTCTTCCAAAGATGTGAGATTTTGCAAATGCTCATGAGGAAATGACTTGAGATTCTTGCAGGAATTGATCTCGAGGTATCTGAGGCAAAAAAGGGGAAGAAAACCAAAACCTTTTTCTGGAATGGATTCTATGTTATCACAACCACGAATTATCAGTTTAGTGAGATGAACTAAACAACCTTCGGGAAAAGAAGAGAGATTCGGAACCCTAGCAATTGAAAGATACCCGAGTGATGACAAAAACTTGTTGAGAAGACAATTTGCCTCAAAATTATCAAAATAGCAAATGCTAAGAATCTTTAAAGTAGATGGGAGATCTTGCAGTGTTGGGAAAGTCAAAGATGTAATTGAACGACAACCGTATATATCCAAGTTTTGGATACCATTTGGACAATTGTAACTCTTGAGTTTTGGACAATTGAAAAGTTCCACTTTTCTAACAGATTCAAGGCAAATCCCCGAATCCGAATCCAAATTCACCTCATTCTTTCCCAATGATACCAAGTTTTTGCAGAATTTTACTCTCAAATCCCATAAACTCACAAGAATCTTGCATGCCTCTGACTCTGATTCCCACAAGTATCTAAGCTCATCACACCTCGTGACATACAGATGTTCAAGTGACCCAAGGTGCTTTAAAACTTCTCCATGTAGTTGAGTAAGTCCTTTGATATTCTTCAATGACAATTCTAGAAATGACGAAGACACACCAACTAAGCTTCTTAACACCGATACAGAACATTCCTCTATATGTAAAACCTCAAGTGAAGGTATCAGGTCAATTGCCACTTCAGCTAGTTTTGGACAATTTATGATAGAAATCTCACAAAGACAAGGAAATGATACATCTTTGTCACCACCATTGGTTGACCATATCTCCCAGCCTTGCATATCTCTAAATTCCAAAACTTGAAGTGATGGAAATCCAAAGTCATGAGAATTAATAGGCCGAAGAAACTCGGAATCCAGTCTTTGCAACCCATTCATGCTTTCAAGAAACAACTTCTCAAGTGATTGTAGATGTCCAAGTGTTGGTAAATACGTACAACTTTTACACCCACGTAGTGTAAGTTGTGTTAAGCAGACAAACGAGGGATCCCCAACCCAATTAGGAAATTTCATTCCCATGTAGTTTAAAATCTTCAAGCTTCTCAACTTCTCATAAGGCCTTAGCCCTTCAAGAACTTCATATTCAATATTTTCATTCCGGGAATCATCAAAGACATCACTCCACTCCATCTCCAAATCACGAATCCCCTTCTTTTGCTGTAAGTTGACTTCTTTTGCATGTATTGCATTGAACACTTTGTGCAGCCCCGTAATTGAAATTTGACCTTGAAGATGCATTAGCCCTTTAAGCTCGGATATTTTGAACCCGTTTGCTTCTCCAATGATGATTTTGGATAAAGTTTGTAGACTTGTCAATGCACCAATCCCCAAGGGCATCTTGGTCAACTGTGGCGTGTCACTAATGTCTAGATGCCGTAGGTTTATTAACTTTACACAGCTATCTGGCAAGCTAGATAACAAATGACAACCAGTAACCAACAAGCTTTGTAGGTTATAAAGGTCACCGACTTGTTCTGGTAAACATGTGATGTAGGTTTTGGAAAAATTGAGGTACCTCAAATGCTTGAGACCTCCAATGGATTCTGGTATCTCTTTGATTGAATAATTAGCTAGGCTTAGCACCCTTAGGAACTTTAGTTGGGGAATTAGTTCTACAAGAACCTTGTTAGATAAGGAGGATCTTTGCCAGGAATATAAAAACCTTACTGACAATGCTAAGAAAGTTCGCAAGCGTCTAGCTCTTTGCAATGCCTTGAACTTTCTGTATACTCCATATCTTTGAATATATGAAAGATGGTGGAACTTCTCCAAAGCTTCAATCTGGTCATAATCATCCATCTTATCATCCAACATAAAGAAAAACTCTCCTGCAACACTTGTGGCCAAGTCATTTATCAGATCATGCATTGTATATCGTGACCTATCGTTAGTTGAATGCTGAAAAAACGACCTTGACTCTAGCTCTTGAAAACATTCACGACCTAAACTCTCCATTGACTTGCTTCCATTTAATTCGTGCAAAAACCCTTCTGCCATCCACAGTAGGACTAGTTCATCCTTGTCAAACAGGTAGTCCTTGGGGAATAAGGAGCAGTATGCAAACATCTGCTTCAAACGTGGAGGAAGATCATAGTAGCTTAGTCTTAGAGCAGGAAGAATCTTACTTTCATTATGTAAGCTCCATATCTCACTATTCAACAACTCCTCCCATTCTTCATCATTTGTTTTGGTCCGCAAAACCCTCCCGAGGGTTATCAAAGCCAAAGGCAATCCACCACATTTCTTCATGATACCTTCACCATGCAATTTAAGTGTTGGATGTGAATCGAAGTTTTGTTTACCTAATGCATGTTGAGCAAATAAGGAAAGAGCTTCTTCATTTGACAAAAGCTCGAGAGGGTAGGCATGAACAGAGTCCATCACTGATGCAACAGTGGTCTTCCTTGTTGTGACAATAACTTTACTTCCAGGTGCCCCTACCACGAAAGGGCGTTGGAGAAGTTCCCACTCCTTGTAGTTTTCATTCCATACATCGTCTAGAACAAGTAGAAACCTTCTCTTTGAGAGTTTTTCTGTAAGGGCCACCTGAAGCAGATCTAGATTGGCAAAATCTTGGTTCCCTCCACCTACAGCTTGAAAAACAGCTTTGCTGATATTGAACACTTCAAACTCATCAGAAACACAAACCCATGCCATGAGTTCAAAGTGATCCTTCACTTTCTTTTCATTGTATAAAACTTGAGCAAGAGTGGTTTTCCCTATCCCTCCCAGACCAACTATGGACAAGATGCTGAAATTTTCATTACATGATTCATCCCCCAACAACTTATCGAGCAATACCCTTTTATCACCTTCCCTACCCACAATTCTGGATTCATCAACCAGTGAAGTTTCCTCCAATCTTCTACTTTCTCTATTTCCCCTTTCAACGTTATTAACCAACCCTAGAATGTTTTTCTCCTCAACAAGATGATGCAATTTGGTTGTAATCACATCGAGCTTAGAACTCATTTTCCGGCCATACTTAATTGTACGAGGAGTGAAATTAGTACAACAAGTTGGAACGATCTTCAGTACCTTACAAGAGTTGGTGCTGGTGGTGGCATAAGTTTCTTCATTCAAGTGGCGGCGCATAGCTTCGGTGGCCAAATCATCGAGGACGTCGTCTATGTCGTAAGCTAAATGCTGGAGTTTGTGCAGCCATAGTTGAACAGATCTCTCTCTTAAGTGTTTCTGGCCTGCATCAACAAGCACAGCTTGGATCTGAGACAAGGTGTTGTTCCATTTGTGGAGCTCGGAATAGATTCCTGCAGATCGAGCCAACCTGATCAAGTCAGCAGAGGCCAGCTTCTCAAACAGCACTGTGATAAATGCGCCTATAAAGATTTCAGCAACAGCCATTAGAGGACTAAAAGAAAGATTGTTTAATTTTTGGGGATTTTGGTTTCAGAGTCGGGTAGTTATGAGAATTCACACTTTCACAAATGAAGCAAAAGAGTTGACTGTGTTTGTTTGTGTGGTGTAGACAAATAGACTGTAGACACACAAAAGATTTCTTGCCTACCACACTACACCATAAAATCCACATGTGCAATATATATAGTCTATCTATGTTTAGAGAAATTTGTAAATTTAGCCCAAGCTAATTAATTTGTAAAAATTTGTTAAAAATTAGCAAATTATGCAAAATAAGTTAAATAACCATAGAAATCGCAGACAATTAGTATCATCAGCGAATTTGTAAGTCCAAATGTACTACCCATTAACGCACAAAAGCACGTTTTGTATGTCTATGACTTGTACATTCGCATATGAAAGTTCATCTGTGATTTTGTTCTAGCCCATTTGCGATCTGCTCTGTTGAAGTATAAATACCCTTTTTTTTTTTAAAAAAAAAACTTATTTTTGTTGTTACAAAGAAAAAACTCTCTCATATTCTCATACTCTCTGAATAAGAACGATAGACGAAGTTAAGATTTTTTTGCTAATTTTTATCTAAAATCTCGTAAGTTGTACGGATTCATAGTCAACACTATTAGATTTCGTAGTAACCTTAACAAATTCGTCATCAACTAAGTATTTACAAAAAATTACACCGACAAATCACAGATAGGATGTAAAACATATCGTAGATGGGGCACACCCATCTGCGATTTGGTGAAAATTTTCTAAAAAAATCTTTTTATAGCTTGGAGCAAATAGCGATGGATGAGGATGAAATATCAGGTGGACTCACCAAATCGCAGATAGACACCACCAAATAGCAGATGGCTAGACAAAAGCGCAGATAGACCCTTGCCATCTGCGATTTGGATGGCTACTTTATGCTTTTTTTTTACAAAGTCATTAGCATTTTTTTTTTGGCTAAATTAGCAAATTTCTCCTATATTTATATACTTCATTAATTATATTAATTTAATTTTTGTATAACCTATAATATTCTTTATATTATTTTAATTTAATATTAATATTTAAATTTTCAACGTATCAAAATAATAGATCTTAAACAACTTAATAGTTTAATGATGAATCATGAAAAATATTTAAAAAACTAAAGGTTTGTATTCTAAACATAAATAAATATACTCCAAATCAACAAACTTCCGCGATGTCCATCAAACCTTCATAATATTTGATGAGTTTTAGATTTAAATTTAATGAATTAAGAGTAAATTAATAATAATAAGAAAAAATTCATATGAATGTCATATCAGCACTACATGAACAAAACTAGTTTGAGAAATGTCACGTCTCAGGCATACGCCTTAAGGCAAAGGAGTTGGAAATCACATATGAAATAGCCCTCATATGACATGATTAAGGACGTCTTAATTAAACACGAAGGCCTAAGGCGGGCAAGACAGAGTGTGACGGCCCTCAAATAACCTGATTTAAGGTGTACACCTCAAGACGAGGGAGTTGGAAATCAAATATGAATTGGAGGCCGATGCCTCAACTAAATAAGACGGCCTACAATGAACCAAGGCAGACTGACTTTAAATAAAAAAATTTTACCTACTAACAAAAGTAACTCCCTTTCACTTGCCCTAATATTTACTTTTTTTTTCTTTTCTTAGAAACAACATAAATTAGAGTTTATGCTTTTTTATTAGGTGTAACTAAAAAAGGTAATAAAATATTATTGGTTTCCATTTCATTTCTACATTTATTACTTTTTTATGTTATAGCTATTATAACTTGCATTTAATTTCAACATTTTAAGTTGACTTTTATACTTTATGTTAACTTATATAGTATTTTATAATTATATTTTTTCGTGTCTCATCCTTAGTCCTCAAGGCATTTTTCCTTACTTTTAAACCTTGAGTACGACATAACCTGTTTACTCCTCTAATTTTTGTATAGTGGCTGATTTTAAAAATTGAAAAATATATACAATTTTAATTATCTAAACTACATAAGAAACAATTATGGACGAAATGAGTAAAAAAGTCAATAGCTAGTTGATACTCGGTGATATTAATTCCATTAGTTTTTATTAGTAGGCTTATAATTTATGCATTTGATAAATATTGCAAAGATGATAACCCAATTGCTTCTTCCATCACTCATCATCCTCTTAATTCAATTATTCATAACAATATAAAAATATTTGTTTTTGTTTTTCATCCAACTCGAGTTGGCTTACCAATCATTTCAATTCTACAGTGAACCTAGATTTATGATACTCTCATTTACATTATGTTGACATAATAGTCAACGGGTGCTCATCCATTTTAGCGGTTGTTTGGCAGTCTCAGAATGATTCAGAGGCTCTAAATAAATCTATTTCTGTATGAAAACATGTTTGGTCAGACGTTTAAATGGTTGTGCTGAAGATAAAATTACCATTTCGCCTCTATTTTAGATTGCACAACAACATCAAATTATGTTCTTAAAATTGTAAAGCAATTTCAAAATAAAATTAAAATTTAAAGCTGTGTATAGCAAGGTCAAAATCCCATCACAGTCTCTAAATCTTTATTCAAAAATTGTACACCAAGATTGAAAAAACAAATTATCCGTCAACTCTATGCTAAGAATAGGTAGGTAGTTTTACATTGATCTTGTCTGCATACAACTAGACCTACTTGATCAGTCAAAAACAATAGCTTACATAAGTTTTTTTTAGTTCATGTATGATAGTCAACAACATAACTATAGCTTCCACTGAACTCTCAAGTTCTCTCACAAGTAATAAGTCTAGGATGGATATTGCGGAATTGTTCGGTATAATGAAGAGCTCTTGGTGTTAATTTTCCAATAGACATTCGTATTTTCATGTTAACATACAATTCATATATACTTTAGTATTAGTACCAAGATTTGTCATCTACACCGGTCCCTATATGAACAAAACATGTTCCTCTTTTTGAACGAGATGAATAGTTTCAACTTTCAACGAGAGTGTGTGTTTATTGAGTTCTATAAAACAAATATTTTTATTTTCTAGCAGGACGTAGCCGCGCTATTTATTGTTGAAACATACTGCACAATGGCTCAAACAACCTGCTCTCTTATCATCAGATTTGTAAATGGCACTTCAACTATCTTGATTTTTTGTTATGATTCACTCAAGTACATTAAATCAGTAAAACACCTTCATATTCTTGAACTGTAGCAAGATTATTGTTCTTATTTTGATATACATTGTTCCTAACTAAATTAACGTATTAAACTCATGATGTTTACCCATGTTTCTATTTTGTGATTATTAATGGCTGTGAGATCTAGACTCTGTGTGTATCCGTGTATGTGTATATTATCTTCTTTGTTTTGGGTTTGACTTTTCAAATAAATAAGTCTTATTCTTCCAATGAAGTAAAGGGTTGGCTTTTGGAACCATAAAGACAAATCCAAGGGACATACGTAACACCTAAAATTGACATGCTATGACCATAAATTTCAAAAAGGCATACAAAATGCACAAGACATCATCAGTGGTTTTACAAAATTACTAATTTCATTTAAAGTAATAACCTGAATTTTAGTACTTATCTAAGGATGCATGATATCTATAAACAAAATCAATACATGTAAACAATGGAGATATTAATTTTCAAAGAAGTTCAATGCAAGGAAAGGAATACCTAACATTATCTATCAATCATACAAATGAAGGGAAGGTATTGGGGAGATGATAGGCCAGTAGTCGCCTTTTCTATTCCGACACTTTTTTACCAATTTCGGGCAAGACCTCACCACCAAACGTGAAAGAAAGGGAAGCAATGTCACTGGCAGATCTCAAAGCTTCATGCATGACTGAATAAAAAAGTTCTTTAAGGCACGTGAGGTGTTGTAAGCCCTCTGAAAGTGATTCCAACTCCACAAAGTCACGAATCTGTAGAAAAGTCAGAGATGATGGTAGAAGAAAACTAGTATTTCTATTGCTTCTACTCCTCACATCTTCTTCTGCCTTGGCAAATGAAACCAACCTTGAGCTTTTGCCACCTAACCATAGCTTCACAAGTGAGGTTGGGAAATTTTGCACCCCCCACTCTGACATCGGCTTCTTTAAGCCCCCTATTACAAGGGTACTTAGATTAGAAGGCCACAAGCCACAAGGAAAGGAGTAGTCCATACTTGGACAATCACTCATCCATAACTCCTCCAAATATGTGAGGCTTTGTAAATGTTGATGAGGAAATGACTTTAGATTCTTGCAGTTAGCGATATGAATATATGTTAGGCAAAGATGGGGAAGAAAACCAAGACCGTTGTCTGGAATGGATTCTATGTTATCACAACCACAAATTGTCAATCTGGTGAGATGAACTAAGCATCCTTCAGGGAATGACATCAAATTTGGGATGTTATCAAGGGAAAGAGATTCAAGTGATGACAAGAAGTTATTGAGAAGCCAACTCATCTCTAGCTTACCAGATGATGTAATGTCAAGAATCTTTAGAGTGAATGGGAGGTTGTGCACTGTTGGGAAGGTCAAGGATGTAACTGAATGACAATTAGATATCAACAACTTCTCGATACTATTTGAACAATTGTAAATATCTAGCCTTGGACAATTGTAAAGAACCACATCTCTAATAGATTTCAAGCCAATCCCCAAATTAACCTCTTCCTCTGCCTCTGATACCAACTTTTCATAAGAATCTACTTTCAAATCCCATAAACTAACGAGACTCTTGCATGCCTCCAACTTTGATTCCCATAAGTATCTAAGCTCATCACACTCTTTGATAGATAGATATTCAACTGCCCCAAGATGTTGTAAAACTTCTCCATGTAGTTGAGTAAGTCCTTTAATATTCACCAATGTCAATCGAAGAATTGATGAAGATACAAAAGCCATGTTTGTTAACACCGCTACAGAACAACCCCGTATATATAAAACCTCAAGTGATGGTATTGATTGGATTGCAAAAACTGCTAGTTTCGGACAATTTGTTATAGAAATCTTACGGAGACAAGGAAACGATCCAGCAGTTTCTTTTGTGTCACCACGAATAGTCGACCATACCTCCCACCCCTGCAGATCTTTGAATTCCAAAACTTGGAGTGATGGAAATGCAATAATACTATGGCAAGAATTAATGGGTCAAAGTAACTCGGAACCCAGTCTCTTCAACCCATTCATGCTTTCGATACACTCAAGTGACTGAAGATGTCCAAGTGTTGGTAAATACGTACAATTCTTACACCCGCGTAGTGTGAGTTGGGTTAGACAAACAAACGAGGGATCCCCTACCCAATTAGGAAATTTCATTCCCATGTAGTTCATAATCTTGAGGCTTCTCAACTTATCGTAAAGCCTTAGCCCTTCAAGTACTTCATATTCAATATCTTCAATTCGGGAATCATCAAAGACATCATCCCACTCTAGCTCCAAATCAAGAAGACCCTTCTTTTGCTGTAAGCAGGCCTCTTTTGCATGTATCGGATGTATCACTTTATGTAGCCCCTTAATGGAAAGTTGACCCTGAAGATGCAATAGGCGCCTAAGCTCAGATATTTTGAACCCATTAGCTCCGCCAATAATGACTTTGGAAAGTGTTTGAAGACTCGTCAGCCCATCAATCCCTAAAGGTATCTTGTTCAACATGGGAGTATCACTGATGTCAAGATGTCGCAGGTTTATTAACTTTACACAACTGTTTGGCAAGCTAGATAACCTAGCACAACCAGAAACCAATAAGCTTTGTAGATTATAGAGGCCACCAATTTGTTCTGGTAAACATGTGATGTTAGTTTTACAAAAATTGAGGTACCGCAGATGCTTGAGACTACCAATTGATTCTGGTACCTCTGTGATTAAACAACTAGCTAGGCTAAGCACCCTTAGGAACTGTAGCTGGGGAAGTAGTTCGACAAGAACCATGTTAGATAAAGAGAATCTTTGCCAAGCATCTAAGTTTACTGACAAAGCTAGAAAAGTGCGCAAGCGTCTAGCTCTTTGTAATGGCTTGAACTTTCTGTATACTCCATACCCTTGACGAACAAATGAAAGATGGTGGAACTTCTCTAAAGCTTCTTTCTGGTCATAAACATCTATCTTATCATCCAACATAAAGAAAAACTCTCCTGCAACACTTGTGGCCAAGTCATTTATCAGATCATGCATTGTATATCGTGACCTATCGTTAGTTGAATGCTGAAAAAACAAACGTGACTCTAGCTCTTGAAAACACTCACGACCTAAACTCTCCATTGACTGGCTTCCATTTGACTCGTGCAAAAACCCTTCTGCCATCCATAGTAGGACTAGTTCATCCTTGTCAAACAGGTAGTCCTTGGTGAATAAGGAGCAGTATGCAAACATTTGCTTCAAACGTGGAGGAAGATCATAGTAGCTTAGTCTTAAAGCAGGAAGAATCTTACTTTCATTATGTAAGCTCCATATCTCGCTATTCTAACAACTCCTCCCATTCTTCATCATTTGTTTTGGTTCGCAAAACCCTCCAGAGGGTTATCAACGCCAAAGGCAATCCGCCATATTTCTTCATGATACCTTCACCATGTGACTTAAGGGTTGGATGTGAATCAAAGTTTTGTTTACCTAATGCATGTTGAGCAAATAAAGAAAGAGCTTCTTCATTTGACAAAAGCTCGAGAGGGTAAGCATGAACAAAGTCCATCACTGATGCAACAGTGATCTTCCTTGTTGTGACAATAACTTTACTTCCAGGTGCCCCTACCACGAAAGGGCGTTGGAGAAGTTCCCACTCCTTGTAGTTTTCATTCCATACATCATCTAGAACAAGTAGAAACCTTCTCTTTGAGAGTTTTTCTGTAAGAGCCACCTGAAGAAGATCTAAATTGGCAAAATCTTGGTTCCCCCCACATACTGCTTGAAAAATAGCCTTACTGATATTGAACACTTCAAACTCATCAGAAACACAAACCCATGCCATGAGTTCAAAGTGATCCTTCACTTTCTTTTCATTGTATAAAACTTGAGCAAGAGTGGTTTTCCCTATCCCTCCCAGACCAACTATGGACAAGATGCTGAAATTTTCATTACATGATTCATCCCCCAACAACTTATCGAGCAATATCCTTTTATCACCTTCCCTACCCACAATTCTGGATTCATCAACCAGTGAAGTTTCCTCCAATCTTCTACTTTCTCTATTTCCCCTTTCAACGTTATTAATCAACCCTAGAATGTTTTTCTCCTCAACAAGACGATGCAATTTGGTTGTAATCTCATCGAGCTTAGAACTCATTTTCCGGCCATACTTAATGGTACGGAAATTAGAACAAAATGTTGGAACGATTTTCAATACCTTACGAGTGCTGGTGTTGGTGGTGGCATAAATTCCTTCATTCAAGTGGCGGCGCATAGCTTCGGTGGCCAAATCATCGAGTACATCGTCTATGTCGTAAGCTAAATGCTGGAGTTTGTGCAGCCATAGTTGAATAGATCTCTCTCTTAAGTGCTTCTGGCCTGCATCAACAAGAACGGCTTGGATCTGGGACAAGGTATTGTTCCATTTGTAGAGCTCCGAATAGATTCCTGCAGATCGAGCCAGCCTGATCAAGTCAGCAGAGGCCAGCTTCTCAAACAGCACTGTGCTGAATGCGCCGATAAAGATTTCAGCAACAGCCATCAGAGGACGAAAAGAAAGGTTTTGGTTAGAGAATCGGGTAGATATGAGAATTCAGTCGATTCACGCTTTCACAAATGAAGCAAAAGAGTTGACTGCGTTTGTTTGTGTAGCTGGTACTAGTGTAGAGTGTAAACACAGAAAAGATTTCTAGCCTACCACACTAATAGATAAAGTCTCCATGTGCTGAATATATAGTCTGTCTGTATCTATATATTTTATTATTATATTAATGTAATTTTTTATAGCATATAAGAGCACCTCGATAGGCTCTTACAAATTAAATTTGCAATGCCACATAAAAATAAGGCTGTGCGGTATGGTGCATCATCCCCACGACGTGATGTCCTGTGACATAGAAAGTCACGCGTGAACACCGCCGAAAGATGGGTGGGTGTTTTGTGGCGTGATACCAGCTACGGAAGAAGACGATGGTTGTAATTGGTGGAGCATTTCTTTGTGTCTATCCCTCTCTCTACAATCTCTCTTCTTCACTACTACTTCACTAGTGAACATCATTTCTACAACCTAGTGGGTTGGCTGTGGAATTGTTAAAATAATGACGTGGCCTTTTTCATTCCCTTCTCACGCGTGAGAATACCCCTCAACCTAATATCTGGCATTTTTCATTCCCTTCTCACGCGTGAGAATACCCCTCAACCTAATATCTTGCCACATCATGCAAGATCTTTCGCAGCTTGAAAGTCTTTCAAATGAATCTATGGACCCCATTTCATATAAAATATTCATTTGTTATTGATTTCATTTCATTTTTTAGACCGGATCGAACTGGATAATATATATATATATATATATATATATATATATATATATATATATATATATATTTGAACCGATTTATAAGACTTGTATAGTTGAATTTTACTTAGCCCGCTAAAAACACAACACATTTCCAAAGAAAAATTAAATATTTTCAAAGTGTACACAACTCGAAGGCCGATGCATATTTTATGGCTAAGATTTTGTTTTCTTTGTTTTATCATTCTTACTATTATGTATTTGTTTACTAATTTTGAGTTTTTAGAAAATCTGGTTTTCAAAACATAGAATTGTTTTTTTTTTTTTTTAAATTTGATTAACTTGATTCAAATTCTTCTAATCAATTTGTTGTCTGACTCTATTTGTTGATTATGAATTTATGGCTAAAACTTTTTTTTATCTGTTTTACTTTTACAGTTTTGATTATGTATTTACTTACAAATTTTGAATTTATCTAATATTTGGTTTTTAAGACCAAGACTTTTTTTTTCCATTTTATTAACTTGATTTTAACAAAACTGTTGATTTTTATTTGATTTTTCATTTTAATATGTATGTATCCATTGTTCATCTTTGCTCTTTTGTTCATGAAAATATTTGAGAGTGTGAGGAAATTAGTTTCACAATTGATATCTAAAGTATTAAAAACATGATGAATTTTATGGTCAACATCTTGTTTTCTTAGTTTTATAGTTTCGATTCTTATGTATTTGTTTACCAATTTTAGAATATTTGTTTTCAAGACCTTAGTTTGAGTGGCTTTTTTCATTTTGTTTTAACTTCATTTATTTTTAAAATTGTTTATTTTTATTTAATTTTTTACACATTGATACAATTTTAATTTATTTAATTTACACACGATAAACATGATGGACCAAATGAGTAAAAAATTTGTAGAAGACTAATAGTCGGTAAACATGATAACCCATTTGCTTCTTCTATCTTTTTTACACATTGATACAATTTTGTTTTAACTAAATTAACTTATAAATCTTATTATGTTTATTCCTGTTTCTATTTTGTGAGTATTAAGACTCGATGTGTGTATGTAGATTATCTTCTTTGTCTTGACTCTTGAGTTGCCTTCTCAAATAAATAAATTTCAAAACGTTCATAGAAGTTAAACTTATCATAAAGCCTTACCTCTTCAAGTACTTCACATTTAGTATTTTCATTTTGAAAATCATCAAATGATTAACCTTACTACACACAATGAAATTGTAAGGAAACAACACTTGCAAACATACATACATGATACAATTATACATCCATCATCTCTATGATAAAATTATGTCACTATGACCTGCATTTCAATTTTCATCATATAAGTGAAAAATCATGGCATTCATGTAAATTTGGGATAATTTAAACAGAAAAATTAGAAACAAACCTTGATGATCAATTGCATTGATTTGTGGTCCTGTCATTTCTATCCCAGCATCATTAAGCAAAAGAATCCCGGATGAAGTAATTTTGAAAGGGAATGAAAGAGGTGGAGACATTGGAGACTTTGCCACCTTTATAAATCTTTTCCCTACAACACAACAACAAGATTAGATATATGATATATGATATATATGAATGAGTGAATTGTGAGTTAATGGTTAATAATCCAGTAAGCAACCTGATCTAGATTCAAGAACAAGACGAATAGTAACAGCATGAGCCCAGTGAATCCCCAGAGCAGCAACAAGATGAGAATCAAAATTTCCACAATCGTCCCTCCTCTCCCCTATATATAGGAGGGTAGGGTGGGTACTTTTGTAATTTTGTAATTTGTATTATGGTGAGTTGAGTTCATTCATACCTTGGAAAGAATAATTAGAGATTTCAGTAGCACTTCGAGATCTCACTTGGTTTGTCATCACCACAGGTATTCTTGAAAACTCAGCAAGTGACCTTTACCTCATCATAAATAATTCAATGATGATGAGGAGGGCATTCACGTCTTTTTCACAGTCCAAAAGGGTACAAAAGGCAAAAAGAAAGAAAGAAAGGTCTCACTTGATAAATGATATATGCCAACCCAATGGATGTTGCCTTGGAGGTCCTTGTTCATATTCCCTACATATATATATATATATATATATATATATATATATATATATATATATATATATATATATATATATATATATATATATATATATATAACACAAAACCACCATTTTATTAAATAAATATTGCATATTCACATGTATAATGTACGTATTTGTCATACAATATACATACAAGACATGTTCCACATGACTAAAAAAAACCTCATAACCAATGAGAATCAGAGAGCTTAAAACATAGATTACTAAACCGAGTTAACTCACCCGGACACAAGAGCAGCCATACTATCAACAACTAGCAACTTCACTTGGTGCTGCAGAAGTGACACTTTAATTTTCTGCAAACTGGAAAGAAAAATAGTTGTAGTAAAGATTGAGTTAATTAGAAATGGAGCACATTTAATTGGCACAAAAAGGGATATTATCAAATCTTTTTTACCTCTCAGTGAACTCAGTCAGGGAACCAGGTCTTAAAACTGTGATCCTACCTGCCATCTAGACAAAAAAAAAAACATAAGAAAAATATTTGAGAGACTAAAGAAATCAATATTGTATGCTTGTGTTTGATGTGTAATGTAAAGAGTGTGACATACCTCTTTTGCCATGCCCTCCAAGTGAAATATTTCTGGGAAGCTATTAAGACCAATTTCAATTAACCTGTAAACAAAAGATCAATTTTTCTTTTTTAGAAGTTAAGATTTAATATTAGGTATAAAAGCAAAGTGATACCTTCTTGAACTAAATTTGGATTCTACATCAATATATATTACATGACCATCCAACCCTCCATAACAAGATGGCAGTGTAGCCAAAACAGAAATCTTCAAACAGAACTGCAACCAAATTCAATGAATAATAATAATCAAAAACAGCTTCTTTCTTGGCCTAAAAAGATGATCAAGTATTGTAAATTTGTAATGAAGACATACTTGTGTTTTACCGATTCCTGCGGGCCCTACTAACTCTGTCAAAGCACCAAATGGGATTCCACCAAATAATGCTGCATCAAGACCCTTCAGATGTGTGGGAAGATGACCTGTCAGATACTCGTTTTGCATGCGTTGCTCCAGCAGGGATTTCACCTAAAACCACAGCTGCTACACAGAATTAGGAATTCAATCACAATGATCCCAAAAAAAGATATATCATATGATAAAATAAATGCAAAATATATCATCATAAATAGAATAAGAATTGAATTTGAATTTGAATTTGAGTTGAGAGAAGTAGAATAAGCTTGTTACCGTTTGATATGGAGGAGAAGCAATCTCACTAATGAGGGCTACTGCTAAAGTCACTTGAGTCAAACCCACATCTAACAATTCCATCAACTCGAATTCAGTCAATGATAAAGCATCCTAACACAAAAAGTCAATGTTTAAATTCAATGACTTAACTTTGCAACTTAGATAGGGCACCTTTAATATCAGATGAAAAAAATCTCTTCATTCTTTAACATAGCAATATCAAACAATTGGTTTTATAGATATAATCAAAATCTTCTTGCTTTGAATAAATGAAACTACAATTGTGGTAAATCTGAATGAAGAAAAATCATAATGGGTTTTAGATACTGCAAATTTGCAATTCAATGCATATTTGCAAGGATCAAGCTTATATTTGACACACTATGGACAAAAGGACAACTTGGTGAAATCAAAGTGGGAAACAATGATGCAAATGAAGATTAAAGGTTTTGCCTTGTTGGAAGTGTTCGTTTCAGCATCATGATGGAAGATTAAACTTTAAAGGTGAAGGGATAATTACAAAGTGTACAAGGGATAGGCTGATCTTTAAGGAAGAAAAAGAAAAATGTTAGTTTCTCAAATGTGATGAAATTTTAGGAAATTCGTGTTGAGGGAGGGTTTGTTATTATTTGACTCAAAATCTTTTTCTTTAGATGTTCAATAACGGTTATGTTTATATCAGTAGTAGTATGAATATGAAAACAGGACATATTTCTTGAGTTATTAAAGCTGCGGTCCTGTTCGGGAAAGCCAGTGATTCCATTAGGCATTATCTAAACAAACGAGATTATACTCTTAGTCCTATTTATCTTATTCGTTGTTATTGTTTCTTCGTAAGATTGAGAGAGAAGAATGACTTTAACACAGACCACAAGAGAATCCAGAATCCAAATGAGAAGCAGATTCGATTAAACTACAAGAATAAAAACCCTAATCATGAGCAATAGAGATTGAATCGGAAGCACGTGTACCTTTGCGGTAATGATATTGCGAGCAGCGAATATGTGCCCAATCGATTTCGGGAGCCCCATTTCGCTGATTAGCTTGTTCGCCATATCTCTCCCGCCAAAATATGATTAAAGGGATTTCTTCCACGGAGATGCATGAGACAATTTATATAGTCCGAAACATTTCCTTAATTTTGTAAACCGTGAGTCAAGCGGTCTTTGTTTTGGTTCTCAAAATGTTTAAAATTTTTTAGAAGAAATTGGAATTTGTTAATGGAATTTATGAAGACTGTAATTTAATTTCATATTTTGTTTAGTTTACGTGGAGTGAAATTGAAATATTATAAAATAACAGTAATAATGATGGTAACAGCTATGCGGTAAAAAATCAAATAGTGGTCCGTGGCCCCTATTTACAATAACGGTTTTCATATTGGTATAACGGTGTTATATCGGTTTTTTAAATGCAAAAGTCCACGATGTCCTTTGTTCAGTAGAAGAAACAAAATTTGGATGTCTAAAAGTTTTTGACTGCATAGGCCCATGATTTTCTCTATTCATATGTATAAATAAATCATGCATACAAATGAAGAAAAAAAATCATCTATTTCTTCTCCTTTTACTTTCAATTGGACCACCGTACATCTCTCATCACCTCTTTTTTGACCAAGACCCAAAATCAATTGCAAAAAAACAGAGCAAAAATCAAATATTGAGGAGATGAAGTCGAATTTCAAAGCTTTAGGGGAGTTATTTGAAACATCCCAAAAATTATAAGGTAAAAATTTCATTTTTAATTCAATCAAAAACACCAATTATTTTTTTCCAACATTCAAAAGTATATCATAATAAAACAGTTATCAAACTACAATCCCAAAATCATAAAGTTGTGGAAACATAAGTAGATGCGTTGCGATCAAGTCGGATCATTCCCTTTCGAACCGGAAGTACCTGAAACCATAACCATAGAAACCGTAAGCACAAAGATTAGTGAGTTCCCCAAAATACCACATACCATATATATCAAACATATAATGAGTCCCGCCCGTCATCAGGCCCCACTTAGAACAGATCTGTCAGTCATCATGCCCCGTCTGGCATTGGACCCCGCCCGGTATACATACAAACACATAAACCCATGCAAGAATCACAAAGATAAATAACATACAATATAATCATCAGGTCCCACCCGATAAACATATCAGAAATCATGCATGCGGAGTCATGCAGACAACTAACATATTGATCAAAATAAACCATGGGCCGACATCTGTCACTTTTTGATGATGGAACTAAATCAAAATTTGATACGAAATATACATCCACATACGAAGTACTTGGTTGAAAACAGTGTATTAATTCATCCATAGATCGATAGAGAAAATGCAAAACAGTCTCGTCCGCATGACATATAAGCTCTATTCTTGCGATAACTCAACAATAAGTATTCTTAATTTATATAGAATATAAATTACAATATACCACATTAATATTGTCACACCCCCGAACCAGACGGCGGAAACGTCCGGGGGTTGGGTGACTTCATCTTGTAATATCATCACAGTGAATATAATAGAAACAAGGCAAGCATCATCATCACACGTACAATAATACCACAATACTGAGTTTACATCATTGTAATTATTTACAAAAGTTACATCCCAAAACTATAAGGTTTTAAAATAGCAACATAAATGCAAAAAATTCCACATTTTCTCGATGTCCACCTGCTTAACGATTTCCTGAGAATACAAGTTATTTTGAAAACGTCAACATATATAATGTTGGTGAGTTCATAAGCATGTTTGAATGAAAAGTTTTGTATCATTTAGTAAACACCAAAAAACCCGATATTTTCTGTAAAATGGTTTGAAGGTTTTGTATCAAATCTTGTGTAAAGCATGTGTGTTTCTGTTTTAAATATGTATAAAAAGAGTATTCCAAAAATTCCTATATTTTCTGTTGTAAGTAGAAGGTACTGTATAATTGTATGCTTTCCCAGAAAATCCGATATTTTTTGTTTATAAAAGTATTGTGGTCTCAAAAACCCTAAGACCGGGTACCAGTGTATGTATGTATGTTTTTGTATCATCAAATTAGTATATGTATTCCGTAAATTTATAATGGAGTTATTCTCTATGTGAGTCATTATAACCATACTTAATAATGACTGATCCGCCTGTCATGACGTTTTTCAGACTCCGACTTGTTTAAGGTAAGGTTTGTCACCCTAGACTGGTCTAGTCTAGCTGTAGTGATCAGCTCAGGTGTGGGGTGTCACCCCTGTATAGATCTATACACAAACTCTCGCTCTCCCTCCAGGAGACTCTGGTTATAATTACAGGCTACGGTTGTACACTAGATAGGTGTGAACAAACGATATGTCTCACAAGAGTCTTGACTGAATTTACGCGAATATTAAATTTGCACAGTGTATATTGTTTTCGTGTATGTTTTTAGTTTATTAGGCCCAACAAGCATGTAAATGGGCCACAAAGGCCCAAACAACATGTAATGTATATTCCATACCCAATAAACATGTAATTGAACCACAAGGGCCCAATAGACATGCAGTGTGTATTCCAGGCCCACTTAAACATGCAAATGAGTCACTAAGGCCCAATAAGCAAGTAAGGTGTATTTCGGCCCAATCAGAAGATGTAAATGACGTATTTAGTCTGTTTGTCATTACGTTGGTTATTTAAACTCAATTGTTTACCAAAATGACTTAAAAGGCACACTTTTTGTAATAATGACATTTTTGGTCCATAAAACCGAAAATTTACAATTAAGGCACATTTTGGTAAAAATGACACTTTAAGTCCCTTAAGACCAAAAGTTTACATTTAGGGCTTGTTTCAAAATAAGACGACATTTTTAGCCCACTTTTATTAGAAATAACATTTTCGGCCCAATTTTATGAAATTTGACATTTTCGGCCCAAATGTGTATAAATTACCTTTTCCGCCCAAGTTTAATAAAATTGGCATTTACAGCCCTTTTAACCGAAAAATTAACATTTTTGGCTCAAATTTGTTTAAAATGACAATTAAATCCACAAAAGTAAAAAATTTACAAATTTAGCCCGTGAAACCGTGAAGGCTCAAATTGAGGCCCATTTTGTGAAAATTTACACTTTTGGCCCTTTTAAATCTATGAACTTCATAAAAATCCATTTTTATTTAAAAAATAACCCATTTTGGTCCTCTTAAAATCGTGAGTTACACAAGAAATCCTCACTTGTTGTTTACTTTGTCAATTTTGGCCCTTTACAAGATTTTACTTAGTTTCAAATATCCTTAACATGTTTTTAATCCTTTCATCTTCATAATAGGTTGCATAGAGTGTTTTAGTTTACCAATATCACCATATTTTAGTGGATCTATCGAAAACTATAAAGTTCCAACACATAAGCACAACATATAACATGGAAAAACACACATAATCATGCTTAAACACATAGATCTACACAAAGCAACTTGTATTCTCCCCCAAAACATAGTAAAACCGAAAATAGGGGGTATGAACTCACTTTGGGGTTGATGGATCGGTTTTGGAAGAAGATTGGAGGAGTTTTCGGTCTTGATGCTTCCTTGAGATGAGATCTTCGAATTCTAGGAGATTTTAGGAGCATGAATCACGATTTGGAATGTTAATGAGTGAAAGATTTGTCATATGATGAAGTTAAACACTAGAATAGAAACTATCTTACCAAAATGATGAACCTTGATGATGTATTCTTGAGTACACACACACAAGCATACACGAAATTTTTGGAAGAATGGATGGATTTTGCTTGGAGTTCTTGGAGGAATGTAGTGACTTAGTAGTGAAAAATGAAGGTGGTGGTGGGATGCACCTTGGTCGAGATTAAGAAGAAGAGAGATAGAGGTTTAGTTAGGTTAATACATGGAGGGTTAAACATAGATGTATGGGAGATATTAATGAGGTGTCATCCTCAAATTATCCCCATAATATCCTTTTTTTTACAATATATATATATATATATATATATATATATATATATATATATATACATAACCGAAAATGAGAGGAAGGAAAAAGGAAAAGAAAAGAAATGTTTGGGCTAGTTTTGGTTATACTTGAAATTATAAGGCCCAATATGGAAGTCTTCGGCCCATTGGACCCTCTTATGAATTTACGGCCCAAAAGGGGTAAATACAATGGGTTTTCGGCCCAATGAAATTCAAGAAGACATTTATGGCCCATTAAGGCCCATGTAGACAAAGTGAGACATTTTAGGCCCAATAAGGCCCATAAAAGTCTTATGGCCCAAAATGTTATAGTTTAATGAATGTGGGTCCATTTAGGCCCCAAATGAGGATTCTTAGCCCAAAATAATTCAATTGAGGGTTTATTGGCCCATTAGGCCCAACAAATGATTCCTGGCCCAATAAATATTTTGAACCGGAAAGTTAGGGTTACAAACCCAAAGTCGAGTGAATGTAGTATATTGAATTAGGTTTAAGGCTTCATGAGAGAGTTTTGATTTGAATAGTTGTTTTTGAATGAGTAATATGTATATCATCAAACTTTGAATTACAAGATACATTGAGAGTTGATTACACGAAGACAGAATTTCCTAGCCCACAAATGCTAGTTGTGACATCATCCCCCCGTTAGAGGGAATTTCGTCCCGAAATTCTTTTGAAAGTTATTCTTAGGAATTAGAGAAAAGGTGAGGGTACTTTTGCTTCATTTGGTATTCGCATTCCCATGTGAATTTCGGTCCATGCTTAGCGTTCCATCGAACCTTCACAATCGGAATGCGGCTTTGTTTTGTACGCTTCACTTCTCTGTCCATTATCTCAACCGGCTCTTCGACGAACAGGAGATTCTCGTTTACTTCGATCTCATCCAGAGGAACGACGAGGGTTTCATATGATAAGCACTTTTTCAGATTCGACACGTGGAACACGGGGTGTACGTTGCTGAGCTCCGCAGGTAGCTGCAGCTTATAAGCCACCGGACCAATCCGAGCAAAAATCTCGAATGGTCCGATGTATCGCGGGTTTAGTTTTCCTTGCTTCCCAAAACGGATCATCCCTTTCCATGGAGAGACCTTCAAGAGCACCCGATCTCCGACTTGAAATTCCAGAGGCTTTCGCCGTTTATCTGCATA